AAATTTAATAACAAAGTTATTTATTTTTGATTTAATAGCATGATTTTTTATAAGGATAATAATTAAGAATTCTGTTAGAACGATTATCCTAATTATATTTAAAAAAATTATATTTAAAATAAGATATTTATCTGAAATTTGATTATTTTTATCTGCAGTTAGTTATTCGAATTAAAAAATGAAGCTTTAATAAGTTGTACTTACGCACGATTTACTTGTAATCTTAAATTTTAAGTAATATACATTAATAAACATTATTTCATGCAAAAAGAATGGTTTTTAATTTTTTTTGTCAAATACTTTATAATATAATATAGATATAGATTTACCTTTCCCTTAAAGTTATTGTCCTCGTTTTGTTCACTAAATGCCCACCAACTTAAAGGATTTGGAAAGGCTATCAACCTCGGGGCATTTTGGTAAAATCACTTCCTTCCACAACAAGCATAAATTTTGATATTGCTTCACTAAAGAAATCCACTACCTCCAACCAAGTAAATCTTCGCCGGAAAAAACAAAGATGACATCGGAGAACAGCAAGATTCTGATCATCGGAGGAACCGGCTACATCGGAAAGTTCGTGGTGGATGCTAGCGCAAAGGCCGGTCACCCGACTTTTGTTCTGGTTCGAGAGTCCACGGTGGTCGACCCTGTGAAGGGTAAGCTTGTTCAGAGCTTCAAGAACTCCGACGTCACTCTCGTTTACGTACGTTCCTATACGCTATAAGCACGTTATTTATCAATTTAAGAATTAGGGAAGCGTACATTTAGCAACTGCGTATATTTTGAGAACCAACTATTCATCATATTGTTGTCAAGATATTTACAGTTCTCAATTGAAACCGTTAGAATCAATGGGTGTTTGATGATGAGTATTTATGCAGGGAGATCTAAACGATCACGAAAGTTTGGTGAAGGCGATTAAGCAGGTCGATGTGGTGATTTCAGCCGTCGGTAATATGCAAATCCAGGATCAAACCAAAATCATTGCCGCCATTAAAGAAGCCGGAAATGTTAAGGTTTGTTTCTTTCTTGATTATTGGAAGGTCAAAGAACAGCTTCAAATAAGAAAACTAAATATCATGTGAAAGTAAAAGAAGAACGTTAAGAAAAAATTCTGATGCAACTGTAAATTGCGGAAGGATCGACAAACGTCTAAACCCTAAAAGATAACGAGCCTACAAATATAGAACTCACAAAATTAGCGATAAAACTCTAAAGAAACTCTAAGAGATAACTATCGAATATAAACTCAAACTCAATATTACTCCTGATTATGGAACGAAATAATCAAAGAAAGAAAGAAACTCAATTCGTGCACGACTGCTTAGAACGCACGCACGACCTGACACGCAATCCAGGTTGGGGGAGAAGTCACGTAAGCATATGCCTTCCAGCTTTTGATGAGGGATTCTGGGTTTTTTTCAAGCTCGTTTCTTTTTCCTTTTCCAAAGATCAGTGAAAAAGCCCAATAAATTTCCGATCCTCCCTACATCAAATTCATATATGAATCAATGAAAAAATCCATTTGAAGATATATATACATCTATATATATAGATATATATATATATGTGTGTGTGTGTGTGTGTGTTTTAATTCATAAATAATCTGTAACATCGATTCATATATGAATCGTCAACATATTTTTTTTCTAGTGATTCACTTATAAAACTTCCGTTAATCTGTGTTTCTTACATCTTGACAATATTTAGTCTTCTTATTTAAAACGAACTTGGAAATTGCAACTGGTTTCAACCAAACAAATGAGTCATGGCAAATAAAATATCGTTTTTAACAAATCCAACAGATAAAACAAACAGTTTGATTGCAGGATTTTTATTATATATATCTGCAAAATAATGCTCCAACACGCACGTAAATGGGGATGACAAAAAATGTGAATTTTGTGGGGTCTCGTCTCATATCATCCCCGTATATCGTCATCCAGACAAACGAGTGTAAATAGCATTTCATTTTCTGACTTCTATTTAATGATAATATTATTATGTACCATCATTTTTTTAATAACAATTAAATAATATATATTTTTATATTTAATATTACAAATATATTTATTTTTAGGAAAAAGTTCGGAAAAACCCAATGAAGTCTGCTCAAGTCTCTGAACTATTTTTTTGAATGAAAAAATTATTAAATTTTTTCATTTTGAATGATTAAGTTCTTGAACTATTTTTTTGATTGAAAAAAACCATTAAACTTTCTCATTGTGGATAACTAAGTCAAGTTTTTGAACAAGTTTTTTTTGTAATAAATATAACTATTAAACTTTTAAAAATTGGTTACCTACATTTTTTTAACAACCGACTAGAAAGGTATTAAAGTAAAAAAAGAAACCTAAATTGGTTTTTCTGTTTCCAAAACCTACGCCCTTCAAACCCCTCCTAAACAACGGTATCCCTCCCCCTCGCCACTCCTTGTCGTCCCATCGTTGTCCATTCTTCATATCGGCTATCACATTGTTGGCCCCTGCCATCGATCTTCCTCTTTTTGATCTATTTTCAGGAGGTCGTAGATAGTTATTCTAAGACTTTTCTAGTCGGTTACAAATAACGTTTTTAGGTTAAAATGATGTAAATAACCAATTTTTAAAAGTTTGATTATTTATTTTATTGAAAAAAATTGTTTAGAGACTTAATAAATTAAAATAGAAAAGTTTAATGGTTTTCTCATTTAAAAAAATAGTTCGAAGACTTAACCATTCAAAATAAAAAAGTTTAATGATTGTTTATTCAAAAGAAGGCATGAGATAATGTTAGGTTTTATGAACTTTGCCCTATTTTCTATTATAAAGTTTAAAATATTTAAATTATAATAAAATATACTAAAAATGATAAGTTTTATTTTTTCACGTTGAACAATAAATTTTTATTCGTCAAAATGTCATTCTCATCTGATATCTATGAGTATCAGATGTGAATATACCTATGATCATTTGTGAATACATGTGAACATCGTCATATATATACATCAATAAAATCATTTGAGATAGTAGTTTCGTCCTCAATCGTATTTTTTATTGCTATAACTCAACTTTAACAAGTTACGATCGACATTTTTTGTGTTTTAGAGGTTTTTCCCATCCGAGTTTGGGACAGACGTGGATCATCATAACGCTGTCGAGCCCGCGAGTTCAGCATTTGCAGGGAAAGTGCAAATTCGCAGGAAGATTGAGGCTGAAGGAATTCCATTCACTTACGTCGCTGCCAACTGCTTTGCCGGCTACTTCCTGCCTACACTGGTACAACCCGGGGCTACCGTTCCTCCTAGAGATAAAGTAACCATCCTTGGCGACGGAAGTCCCAGAGGTAACCACGATCCCTTTCAATGATGCGTTATTTAAATCAGATGAAAAATATACCAAGAATTGGCATGTTTTTACTACTCACAATGATCGATGATTGTTTACCGGTATCTGTAGCTGTTTTTAACGAAGAACACGACATCGGTACCTACACGATCAAAGCCGTAGACGACCCGAGAACATTAAACAAGATTCTTTACATCAAACCCCCGAGAAACACTCTCTCTTTCAATGATCTTGTTTCCCTATGGGAGAAGAAGATTGGAAAATCCCTTGAGAAAACTTATATTCCTAAAGAACAAGTTCTTAAGCTCATTCAAGGTATGCAATCAAAGGAAAAACCTAAGGTTTCATTTGTTTTCGTTGTCATTTTTTCGTCGTTTCTCATATTCTGTTTTCGTGATTGCTTCAGAGTCTGAATTCCCGATGAACATTCTGTTAGCGATCAACCACTCGATTTTTGTGAACGGAGATCTTACCAACTTTGACATAAAACCATCATTCGGTGTCGAGGCTTCAGAACTCTACCCTGACGTGAAGTACACTACCATCGATGAATACCTTAATCGGTTTGTTTGAGCCAACGAACTTGATCAACTATTATATGATTGTGGTTCTCTATTGTCGTTGGTTTGGTTATCTAATGTCGTGCCGTGTGTTTTATGTAATATTGAAATGTCAATGAGAATGACATTTTGACGAATAAATTTTTTGCATATATGAGTTGCGAATATTCTCGCCTTTTCACCATCATCTTCAATGTTATAACAGAGCTATTAGAGTTGTTTACATATAGTATGACCTACTACACCGGGACCGTTCAACCGGTTAGAACATCGCGTTTGGACCATCATTTTCGAAAAGGTCGTGTGTGTGCAGACCAGACTCTTTAAAATTAATAGCATACTCGAGCAATCAAAAAGTTAATTCGGACAAGTCCGTCCGGTCTGTTAGTATTTTCATAATTAATTAAATTTCATATAACTAATATTTTATTACTCTTTATTAAAAAAATTCGGATATACCCCTACAGAGATTCACAAGGCTCGGGCCTTCCTAGTCCGTTTTCATTTGAAAATAAAAGAGCACATTCTTTTTGGACCAGTTTGAGCTTCGGATGTGCAAATAGAGATGGCCAAAAATCGGTCCCGGGCCGGGCCTTAACCGGTTACGGCCGGGCCTAATCGTGACAAAAACCGGCGTTAACCGGTCCCTCCATAACCGGTCCCGGTCCCGGTCCCGGTCCCGACCGAAAACACTATAACCGGTCAAGCTGTCGTATAACCGGTTAAGGAAAACCGGTCCCGGTTCCGGTCCTATAACCGGTTACGGCCGGTCCTTTGAAAAAAAATATTTTTTTTTTTGATAATTAATAAATTAAAAATATGTTATTAATATTTTCGAAATATGTTATTTTTAATATGTTTTATTATAAATATGTTTT